GTGTCGTGTCGTCGTCGTGTGTGTGTGTGTGTGTGTGTGTGTGTGTGTGTGTGTGTGTGTGTGTGTGTGTGTGTGTGTGTGTGTGTGTGTGTGTGTGTGTGTGTGTGTGTGTGTGTGTCGTCGTGTGTGTGTGTGTGTGTGTGTGTGTGTGTGTGTGTGTGTGTGTGTGTGTGTGTGTGTCGTCGTCGTCGTCGTGTGTGTGTGTGTGTGTGTGTGTGTGTGTGTGTGTGTGTGTGTGTGTGTGTGTGTGTGTGTGTGTGTGTGTGTGTGTGCTTAAATCGCATTCAGCATTGATAAATCAGAGGATCAGGGATCGCGTGATTATAACACTAAATACTTGGATGGTTCAGGAACTACGCTTTATGTTACCACTTGTCATGTAACTTTGTTTATAGATGTTGCTCCTTATTTACATGAATATAGATAATATAACATACCCCTGACAATGAGCCTCATGATGCCCTGTTTTCTATCAGTGTCCCCCTGATAGTAGCACTCATAGATCCCCTCGTCTGAAGACTGGACACTGGCTATGGTCAGGCTGAGTCCGTTCTGTCCAGTCAGGGCAGTCCCTCCGACCCCGCCCTTCCTCCACTCCAGAGTACCGGTTCTACCGGACTTCTGCACCATCTGTAGCGTCACGGGGTCTCCTAGGCTGGCGGTTACTGTGAACGCCACTGGCCAGACATCGGCTGAAAAGAGTATGATAGATACGAGCTAAAGGGGTATTGAAGTTATTGTTTATTTGTTTATTAGAATTCACCACAAGTACAAACATACAAGGTGTTGACACCTTTACAAGTTGTCCTCCCAAACACAACAATATAAATACAGTACAATACAAATTACAAAGTCGAACAATTGTTGACATGAAATACAAATTCCTACAATAACATACAATAGTCATAAAAATGCAATACAATACACTGCTATAAAATATAATTCATTATATACAATTATATAGCAAGAAAATTCAAGAAACGCATGTGTTTCTTGAATTTTCTTGCTGTATCAAGAAAACGATTCTGTCCACAAGAAAATATTTCTTGAACTAAGAGCTAACTGTTTTTGAAGCAAGAAAACCATTCTGTACGCAAGAAAAGTTTTCTTGTAGCAGAAAAAAATACTGTTAACTTTCTTAAGAGTCATTGCACGAGAAAACCAGGCAGAGGCCGGAAGATGGGGGTCGGCCATATCGGCTCATACTTTGTATGTGAGATAGGTATGAGGAACTATTAACAGCCATATAGTTAAAACCCTCCAGGTATTTTTCGTTATGGAGTTCTGGGACCCCCCTCTGAGACCCTCAAAAATCTAACAATTTATGGCTGAAAATTACTGAAATTACAATGGACACCACGGTAATTCTAAAATTGATATGAACATGGGTTTTTTTTTGTCTCATAGCATGGGTCCTCTACTTTTACAAAACAAAAATTGAAGATGCAATATTGAAGTTAAAAGGGTATACCAGGGGGTTACCAGAACCAATGAAAACAGAATTTTCATCTTTCTAAATTTTAGTCATTTTTAAGTAGCCTTTTCTCCGTGACACGGCAAATTTGATAAACGGTTTTACCGTTGCTGGAAAGAGGAACATCTGCTGATTCAAAAACAAGTGTCGTTTAATTGGGCCACGCATAACGCGGGCCGTGAACGAAGGGTCTTTATGGGGGTTTTCCGGGTTTGGGACCATAATGAATTAGCTAACAACGTCTCTTTACGGGGTAAATCATGGACATTTTTGTGCAGCTGCATGGGATCAATGAACAACTGTTGAAAAATGCTAAAAATAATTAGAAATATTCGGTGGGGCTCCACATGGGGGATACAAGGATACCTAAAAAGCAAATTTAAACTGATTTTACACAATTTATCTCTAATTTATTTCTAATTTCCATTAGTAACTATCTTTAAAAATTAATTTTGTGCATTCACTTTGTGCTAAATATTATCAAGGCTAAGTATGGGGTTTATCACAACACCATTTGTGAAACCAGCTACCAAAAAAAAACGCAAGCCACATGGGTGCATACACGTAGATACAAGTACTCCAACTGGACAATCTAGCAATAGGACCAAGAATATGTGGCGTTTAAGCTAAATATAACAGTAAAAACAGGCAAATTCACATAAAGGCCACTGAAAATACAGGTTTGCCAAATATACTCAGGCTTTCATTATTGGATTAAATGAACTAGTTAGCATTTACATATACAGGAACATCTGATTCTACTCAGCTTATAAGATAATGAAACCAATTCATAAAAAATCCGTCATCTAATAACAAATCAGCAATAAATTTTACCAAATAAAAATCCCAGACCAGTTAGAATCGCATTACAATATAATGTCAATCAATTCAAATGAGAAAAGTATCTCCATCATTGACTGTACCATCATCGACTATTCCTTGATATATTTATGACAATTCGGGCCTAAATTACTGGATATTTTCATTTTGCAAGCATTGCATTACTTCACTTTTTCAGGTATCCTTATGCCCTCCCCCCATGCAGAGCCCCCTTAAACCGGCATAATTTTTGACCACAAATCTATGCATGCATGTTTTTCCTCCAGCTACACAAAAACGGCCATATATTGCCCTTCACTGCGACATTTTATGATCGATTTGTATGATCTAATAGACCCATGGCCCATTTATGTGTGATTTGTGGTCCAGTAATTAGACCAGATTTGTTTCTGAATGAACTGAAACATGTCTTCTATCCTGCAAGGATAGTGTTCCTGTTTCTGGGGAACTAAAATTAAGAGAGATGAAAAGTCTCATTTCATAATCTAATGTGCTAAAACTAAAAGGTTGAAAACATCGAAGAGGAAAGAACAATTTAAAAGCACATAGCAAAACACTTTCATTTCCTTATAGCACTGGTCCTATTTTGAAAATAGACCATTTTCTCTAGATCTACACACCATTATGCGCACGTTGACATGTAGAAATTTGCTTTAGTTTTCCACATGTGTACTTTTGAGACTTTGGCAAATGAGAACGAAAAACAAAGTTGTACTAATATCTAGGACAGCTCAACCTGTACCTTCTTTTGGTGTATGAATGTCTTTGCTTGAATCGGAGGATATTAGTTAGTATTAATTAATATGTTACATCTAGTAAGTGAATTATTATTAACTCTAGAACTAACATATTATAGATCACAGATGTATAATATGATATGTTTTAAAGATGTAAGATGATTAGCAGTTGGAATATTTAAATCAAGATTTGGCCAATGACGTTTACAATAAATATGCACAGTTCTCCTGATACATTCCAATTTTTCATGCTCTTGCACCCCGGACAAGTCAGTACAAACCAGCCCTGGCAGACTTTTTGCATTTTTGTGTTTTATTTTTGCAAACATAAGTTTTGTAAAAAGAGATGCCCGAGGCGGGCGATTGTCACGATTGCGAAACTTGCAGGAGCGTCTCTAACAAATGCACTTTTGGAACGCCGTACAAACTAAAATTCTCAATCATAATATACTAGTATATGATTAAAACCAACCTAAGGACTATATTGAATGTATACTTTCAGTGTTGTTATTTTCCAGCCTTTGGTAATCACCTTGGTGTCATATTGTCTTAACGGCATTTACGATATGCTCAGTTCATTTAAGATGTTTTCTAAACAATCCAAGTAAAAAGCATTTCATTTCATGATAATTTCGTAAATAGCAAATTGTACAAGCTGAAAAGACGTTCTAAATAGAAAATGCTAAACTGTTCACTATTCAGAAAGCCACTGTGGGAAGAACGCCCCTCTTGAGTATGAGTGGATTTCAAAGACCTTCCTATCTTCTGACCTACTGCTGACTTATACAGCGATCCTAGATCCTAAATGGCCTGAGTTTTTTCAGTGGCCTTTAGTTGAATTTTCTTGTTTTTACGGTTGTGTTTAGCTTTATTCTTAGTCCTGTTGCTATAGTGTTCATTTAGAGTACTTGTATCTAAGTGCATGCACCCATGCGGCTTGTGTATATGGTAGCTAGTTTCACACATGGTGTTGTGATAACCCCCATACATAGCCTTGATATTATCTAGCACAAAGTGAATGCACAAAATTAATTTTGAAAGGTAGTTACTAATGGAAATTAGAAATAAAATGTGATAAATTGTGTAAAATCAGTTTAAATTCGCTTTTTAGGTATCCTTGTATCCCCCATGTGGAGCCCCACCGAATATTTCTAATTATTTTTAGCATTTTTCAACAATTGTCCATTGATCCCATGCAGCTGCACAAAAAATGTCCATGATTTACCCCGTAAAGAGACGTTGTTAACTAATTTATTATGGTCCCAAACCCGGAAAACCCCCTATAAAGACCCTTCGTTCACGGCCCGCGTTATGCGTGGCCCAATTAAACGACACTTGCCAAAAAACAGTTACTCAAGCAACTGGATATGATTTTGAAAACGTCAGACGTTTCAGCTAGT